TCAACCTAGATCAGCAAAAATATGAAAAGTCCCAGAAAGAACCATCAGCGTACTCAGGAAGAACTGGAACCATTACAGAATGATAGAAACTTCCATTATAGAGACACTTTAGAGTCTAAACCCTATAGAGAAGCACATAAAAGGAGCACATACACTAAAGAACCACCCCACACCACATACAGACATCCCCATAATAAGCAAAGAAATCAAAATAGAAGCTACAGTGACGTAGTCAAACAAGGCCCATACAAATATGATAGAAAGTCTCCATACCATGATAATTTAAGTAGAACAAAGAAGACGTCCTCGTACAGATTGAAAGAAGGAGGAGAATATGGAAAAGAGGAAAGACTTCCTCCCAAAAGAGACTATCCAGACACAGGTAACAGAGGCAATACTAATTCTAATCTTAGCCCGAAAAGCTATCCAATGAAAGAACAAAGAAGAAATGAAAAAGATAGCAAATATTATGATGACAAAACAAGACCGATACGAATTAGAGAAAGAACATCAGAAGATCATCAAATTGCATCAGCACCTTCATCTTTGGTTTTTCGGAGGGAACCAATCCAAGAGAGACTCAAATGGCAAGAGAAACCTCCATCATGGGAATCCCCAGGCAAACGTCAGAGACCGACAGATTACGACTCAGAAGAGGAAGAGATAAGAAACAAAGGAAAAAGAGGGAAGAAATAAATTCAGATGGAATTTTTAATCTCACAGATCATATTTTAACAAATGAAGAATTAAGAGTTTTAAAAAAAGGTCTAAAATTTGCGCCTACACAGGAATTGAATAATTTTGAGATATTCATTGATATGAATAAATTTTTAAGAAAATTATGCTTAAAAAAATTTTTTTATCATAGAGGGGATAATATAACACAGATAAGACACGATCAGGATGATCAATCCAACTTCATACATACGGATTTAAAACAAAAATCCAACTTTTTTCCTAAAAATATGATCTCAAACGAAATGAGAGCTTTTGAAACCACAGTTATGACAGAAATAAACAAAATAAAAAAATTAAATAAATATCAAAATAATATGTCAATACAAGAACGAAATACTTTGAAAAAAATACAAAAAAATGACGACTTAGTGATCAAATCAGCAGATAAAGGAGGAGGGATAGTAATCCTCTCCAAAGCACAATATTTGACAGAGTCAGAAAGAATCCTCTCCGACGAGAGCACTTACACAAAATTAAAATCTGATCCAACTAGAAAAATAAAAGACATATTCGATAAATATATACAAAAAGGTATGGAGAAAGGTATACTAACAAAAAAAGAAGGGGAATATTTATCAATTCCCCACCCAAAAATTCCAGTATTTTATTACCTTCCTAAGATTCATAAAGATTTGCAAAACCCCCCGGGACGCCCTAATATATCTGGGATCGACTCGATCTCTTCTAGAGTCTCTGAGTATATTGACCTACTACTACAACCAATAGTAGTGAAAAACCCAGCGTATTTGAAAGATACCATACATGTATTACAACTTCTAAATACCATTAAATGGGAGGATAATTATCTATTGGTAACGAGCGATGTTACGTCCCTATACAGTATAATTCCCCATGAAGCAGGCCTAGAAGCAGTGAAACATTTTTTAATTAAAGCCAATTTTGAGATCGAACAAAGGGATTTTATATTGGAAGGTATACATCTCATTTTAACTAACAATTTTTTTGGTTCCAAAACACATTTTATCTTCAGACCAGAGGTACAGCGATGGGCACCAAATTCGCACCCAGTTATGCCAATCTATTCATGGCATACTGGGAAGAATTTTTTGTGTTTTCAGAGCATCCCTGGGTGTCGAATTTGGTGACCTACCGACGATACATAGACGATATTTTTTTAATCTGGAATGGCACAATAGACCTTTTACATATGTTTTTAGCTTGTTTGTCAACTAACAAATGGGGAATTGTTCTCACTACCATACATAGCCCCACCAGTATTAACTTTTTAGACCTTCAAATTTTTATTGAGAATCGTCAAATTAAAACCAAAAATTTTTTCAAACCTGTAGACGCTAACGGATATATAGATAAAAAGAGTTGTCACCATACACCCTGGTTAGAAAACGCCCCAAAAGGTCAGTTTTTACGGATTCGACGAAATTGCACGAATGAACAAGACTACATCAATCAAGCAAATATTATTAAGAAACAGTTTTTAGAAAAAGGTTACGAAGAGGAAAAATTAATTGGAGCAATGAAAGCAATTCAAGATACTCCTAGAGAACAGCTATTAACTTATAAACAACATCAGAATAAAAAAAATTTAAATACACAAGAAGCCCATTTTATATGCAATTTCAACGGGAATAATAAAAAAATAAATAGAATTTTTAATAAACATTGGCACATGTTACAAAAAGATCCGATTTTATGTAATGTTTTACCAACAAGACCCAAAATCATTTATAGAGGAGCAGCCAACTTAAAAAGATCTTTAATGCATAGTAGTGAGGGCCCAATTAAAAACACATCACATTTTCTAAATCAGAGTAAAGGCTATTTTGGATGTGGGACATGCCTAGCCTGTAGAACAACCAAAAATTCGAAAAGACACATAAAGAATCTCAATGAACACACGAGAATTGATTTTATTCTAAAGGAACAACTCACTTGCTTCTCAAAAGGAGTAATTTACTTATTAAAATGTCCCTGTGACCTATTGTATATAGGGAGAACTATTAGGAATCTAAATGTCAGAATATCCGAACATGTCCGAAACATTAAAAAAGGTCTTGAGACCCACAGCGTCTCCAACCATTTTAAATTACATCACAACCTTAATCCAGAACACCTCTTTTTTTGTCCACTTAAAACGGTTAAAAAAGATTGGAGAGGTGGAGATTATAATAAAAAAATAGGCTCAGAAGAGATGAAATTTATTTTCAATTTTAATACTCTAATTCCCCATGGTCTTAATTCAGATTTCGAAATTTGTCATTTTATCTAAGTTTTAAGGTTGAGTTTTAGCCACAATTTTACTATATTCATTTTTTATATTAGCATACCATCTCATTTTTTATATTTTTTATATATATATTTATATATATTCTGTATATTTTCTATATTTCACTTATTTCTTTATATATTGCCATGTTTTGTCACCTTTTATATGGAATGATGTCACTAGCATGAACCCACTGGCATGAACCCACTATCACTTATATATACCCAGTAAGTGAATACAATTCACCCGCTAATTAATATGTATATTTTTTGTTTTTTATGCATGTGTAATATACATCAGAGGTGACTGAATAATATGCATATTTCTAGTTTTTCTTTTTTGCCTATACCAGACAGTAAAGGCAGTGATATATCGAAAAATCCACTTATATATGTTTAATAAGTAAGAGACTTAATAGAAACCACAGTTATTCACATTGGAACGCATAGATCCGATTCTATGCGTTCCAATGACATCACAGAGACGTCCCACAGATCGAAACCGGAAGTGACGCACAGGACGACACCGACGCAACGCCAGACCGGAAGTAACATACAGGAAACCGGCGGTGGAACGCATGATGCGTTCCAAATGCAGAATACCCGGAAGCACAAACGAAGAGTGCTACATAAGGACGCCAAGAACCAGCCATCTGATACACAGACTGATGCCAACTGAGGAAGCCCCCACCATAGGGCGAAACGCGTTTTGGACTACTACAGTCTACATATTGGACTTTTAATTGGACTCTTTGCCCATACTTTTATATTGATTTTTATATTGATTTTTATTGGGAATATTTATTTCCTTATCTTTTTATATTAATTGTTTTTCCACAATAAAGTTCCCTTACTGGATACAGATTGGAATATTGTGATCCTCTATCATCATCACAACATCAAAGGAGGAATATCAAGAGGGATGGGGACATCCATATAAAAGTCCCACTGCGCTACACATAAGAGCCATATGTTTATATTGGCTCTAGGCTTGTGAGTAATATTGCTCTATTTTCATTTATTACAGTTCATTTTGGATGTATTACACTATGATGTTCTATCCTATTTTTTAGATCCTACAGATGTGTGTTCCACCTATTGTATGTATATTATGAAAAGTATACTGTCTTTAATATTCCTTGAGTAAAGTGCTATTGACATAATAATTTCACTACCACGGAAGCTGTATTAGAAAGGAGATATTCAGCAATATCGGGTATTGCATGTTAAAAATATAAGTATGGGAACTGATTCTTCCAACATCATCTCACTCTTGCTCTACATAAATGTGCTTGTTTGTATATAATATGTCGGATAATGTATTTGTAAGTTTCTTTCAGTGTTTCTTTCTCTGGCTCTGCTTCTTCTCCCCAACTCCTCTCTGTTGGTGTCCCCCAAGGTTCAGTCCTTGGTCCCCTACTGTTCTCCATCTTGGTAAACTCATTAGCTCCTTTGGCTTCCATTAGCTCCTTTGGCTTCCAATATCATTTCTATGCAGATGACACGCAAATCTACCTGTCCTCTCCTGATCTCTCCCCGTCCCTCTTGACTAGTGTCTCTGACTGCCTCTCTGCTGTTTCTAACTGGATGGCTGCCCACTTCTTTAAACTAAACTTGACCAAAACTGAAATTCTGGTCTTTCCTCCCTCAAGTGTTGTTACTCCTGTGTCTGTCTCCCTCCAAGTCAACAGTGCTACCATCAGCTCCACCACGCAGGCTCGCTGCCTAGGTGTTCTCTTTGACTGCGACCTCTCCTTCAAGCCTCATGTTCAATCTATAACC